TATTTTTAACCACACATTCTCCATTAATCTACTATTCAATAATACATTCTTTCAAAAGAATGTGTCCCAAACACACTCCTAATAACAACATTCTGCAGAGAAATCAGGTTCCTCTTAGTAGAATATGAACTTAAGTATAAGATCTACTTGTGTAGATCACTTGATAGTTACTATTGGTTGACTGAAAAACCCTTGTGCCTTGATTTTTCTATTTCTGGTCAGATTGTCATAATCAGCTTCCGAAAATCTGATTTATCTAGGTTGATAAGCGTTCATGAGGACAGTTAAGCAATGTAACAAGTGTTCTACTTTTTGTATTTGTAGAAATATGGATGTGAAGTTAAGCAAATACTGAAATTGGGTGTTTACTAATCTTAAACTCTTAAAACTTGAGAACTCTGTAGTGGTGATTTGTGGATGCAATTTCTTTATAGTTGAATCCATACGCTAGTGATTCGTTTTTGTTTCCATTTGTACTCTTGTGTGGATGCCTGATCTTATAATAGATAGGCACTTTTAGGACTGATTTGCATTTTTGGGACTGTTTCTGCCAGTATCAATGTGAACAGACACAGGAAGTTTTTTTCTTCTTTTTGCTTATCCCAATCTAGAAACAAGCTTAATGATATAACCACATGTTCTGAAGTTGTTTTACAGCTGGCTTGGATTAAGTAACCATAAAAATAGAGTTAATGAATCTTTTGGTTCATATCTGAGATTTTTCNACTCATTTTCAACCATACATTCTTCAATAAAATAATATTTTTCATCACATCAATAACTTTTCATTCTTTTTCAACCACATATTCCTCATCACATCAACAGTAAAAATGCATTCTTACCTTCAAAATGTACACCAAACGGGGGCTTATATGCTAACCAAATCAGTTTGCTTTCCTTTTCAATTGGCTGAGTGGTACTTTTTTTCATTTTCCAATTTGCAGGTTTTCTTCATTTTCACACTTTATAACACTTCCAATCACAATGATCAACTGAAGGTTTGCAAGCTTTTTATTCCAACTGTTTATAACCATATTTTTTAACAACATAATCAATTAAAATCTTGTAATTTATAGTTGGGAGCAAACAGTCCGGACTCCGGAAGAAGCCGCAAGATGGATTCAATCCTTTCAGGAAGCAGCTTTGAAGGTCAGAACTGTTCTATTTTATTAAGAGCCTGTTTGTTTCCCATTTTATAGTAAGAATGCATTTTGGACTAGTAGATTGATGGAGAATGTGTGGTTAAAAATTAAGGAAAAAATTGGATTTGCGTGTAATATTATTTTATTGAAAAATGTATGGTTGAAAAGAAGAGGGAAAAAATGTATCTTAAAAAAAATGGGTATCAAACAAGGGCTAAATGGAAAGATACTTTTTAGGCTGGCTAATGATGATGATTATGGATAACTGCAGCCCACCCTGAATCAAGGAGATGTTGATTTCTCTAGACGTGAACCACGGTCGTTTAGGTATGTAAGCATTATGTTTGATGTGTTTATTGACCAACATATCACTTTAAGATTATATTAATCAATTCTCATCAATGTGGTTGGTCCCAATGCAAGCCATCTTATCTTTTTACTAGCAAGTCAGATTGCCAATGTTTTTTCTAAAAACAATTTGAAAGTTTTCAACTTGTTCCATTCGGCCGAAGTGAAAGTTCCAGTCTTCAATATATTGATCTATTTTCTTATGTTCTTTATAGGTTAAACAGCTGTAATAAAAACTCACATTCCATTGACTGGACTCTCTGTTCATCATCAGTTACTGATGCTATGACATCTGATGTTGTTGCACCATCATCCTGGAAAATCTTTGGATGTCAGAATGGTATAGATTAAGTTAACAGTGTGTCTTGCAAGATGGCTGAAACGGTTTGTCTAACGTGTCTAATACTTGTTTAATGCAGGTCTCCGGTTATTCAAGGAGGTCAAAGATAGGGAATTTCATTTAAAGGTAAGTAGTCAAATGTTAATACAAAATTTGGCGTCTCTGAAACTTTCTCTTGTTATTTTTTCCCTCCTTAATTTGTAGTGGGATGATCATCCTGCAATTATGGCTGTTGGTGTAGTTGATGGAACATCGGAGGCCATTTTCCAAACTCTCATGTCTCTTGGTACTTCAAGATCAGAGTAAGTTGCAAATGATATTAAAGAAACAGAATTGTGACTTCAATAAGGAACGTTTCACTCGAACTCGAAATATTTGAGTAATTGTATCTTTTGTGAATCCATTTCCAAATAAAATATTCATATTTGAGCTGCAAATTTTAGTCTGTGCTCTTCGCAAATATCTTCACATATGAAAACATGCAGAGTAATTTTCTTGGGTTTCTGCAAGAAAAATAAAACGAAATGAGGCTATGATCTGAAAATGTTTCTGCTCGTGTATTCTAATCGACTTTGCAATTTTATTTTCTCGTGAGCTCTGTCTATTCCTAACTTGTCCTTCTGTATTTCAAGTTTTGCGTGAACCTTCCTTTGCAATAGTCATTATGTACAAAGAATTTATTCCCGCTGTAAAAAGAATAAACAGAAATTCTCTGTAGGCAAATTATTCTCTTAGAGCAGTTATTTTGGGTCTATTTTGACCATCCTCTATATTGCTTCAGTTTTCAAAATGATAAACGGCAGAAATTTTGTAAAGCTTTTTATTCTAGAAATAGGAAATTTTTGGAATACTGAATGTTATCTACGATTTACATGCTGAATGTTCACATTAAATTCTCTTAGTGAACTGCAAATTACTTGTTTTTTCATGGCGTATAGCCATTACTTTCCTTAAGAAATTTAAAAACTTCAACCTGGAAGGTTCTCATACCTAGAGTAACCTCTAACCTAATTTAGAGGTGTCAATTTTGATGATTTACTGAAACTTAGCTTATGCCAAATTGTTGGATCCTTTTATATTGTATTCTTCGGCTTTAATGATATTTTCTGTGCAGATGGGACTTTTGTTTTTACAAGGACTCCGTGATTGAACATCTTGATGGTCATACTGATATAGTTCACAAGCTCCTATATCATGATTGGCTACCTTGGTCTGGTTCATATGTCTCTATAAAATTTGTTTCATAGTTTCTATGACAGTTGATGCATGAGGTACTTTTTTCAGGGGTATGAAGCGAAGAGATCTTCTGTTGCAGCGCTATTGGAGAAGGGAGGATGACGGGACATATGGTAATATTGTTATTTCAAATCAAGTAGTTAATATTACCCAATGGCCCACTCAATTGGAAAATAACTTTCGTTTGTTTTTCTTGCAGTGATTCTGTACCATTCCGTGTTTCACCAGAAGTGTCCTCCTCAAAAGGGTTATGTCCGTGCCTGCCTAAAAAGTAACGTATGCTAAACATATGGCACTTGTGGAAAATTGTTATATCTTTTTCCCCCTTGGATATACAAGGTTTTGCTGGTTATCTTTGTATCTTCACGTGTAGCTTGTGTTTTGCCTGCATGGATACTCAAGTACTTGTGTCTTACAATTTGACATCTCACATGCTTATAAGCTTTAATCTTACAACATTTCTTTTACTAGACTCGTGTTACAGGCTCGGCTACTCTATAATTGAATTTGTTTGACTGATGAGATGACATTATGCGCTCATCACAGGTGGTGGATATGTGATTTCTCCGTCAAATCAAGGGAAGCGAACAGTAGTGAGGCACATGCTTGCTATTGACTGGAAATCATATATACAGACATCATCAGCCCGATCTGTAACAATTCGCATGTTTCGGAAGCTTGCCGGTGTGCTTCCTAATCTCTGTCTCCCCCTTTTATGCCAATGCAGTTGTTATTATATCTATTTATCTACTGTTGCCTCTGTAGCCTTGCGGGAATTGTTCAGAGCAAAATTAGATTTCTTAGCATCTGATGTCTCATCGGGTGAGCTGATGAGAGATAGTAGCTTGTTACAAAGTAAACAAGAATTGAAGGTTGAAGTCCAAACTAGGCTGGAGAATGGGCAGTGCAAGGAGAATATGGAGGAAGAAGCAGTTAAAACGCCTTCTGAACATTCAAGTCTATTCGGACTAAATGACACAGCAGATGAATTCTTTGATGTCTCTGAACCTCTGGATTATGATCAAGCGGCAAATGGTTGGCATTCTGATTTTGGTCCTGAAACTTACTCTCAGGTACTAGTTACTAGCTATCACTTCCTGATATTGTTCAGAGGAACTAGGAAGAACATAGATTTAGTGGGGATGGCAATGCCTCTGATGACCAATGGCATTGCCTTAAATCTATAGGCTGGCAATACAGTAGTCATTGCACACCTAGCAGCCTAATTATGAAATGATATGACTGGATGCTAGATATGATAAGACATCATCGTTGCAATGAACCTGCAAGTATGCATTATTTTAATCTTGAACTTTTACACATCTGCTCGTGTAATGAAAAGTTCAGTTTTTACTGCTGGATATCAGGCATTTGATCCTATGCTCAAATTTGCTACCTATTTTCCTCAGAATTAGGGCAGGCAATGATGTTTTGACTGCATTCGTCTAAAGCTGAATTGTTTAATGTTAATATTCTTTAAACGCTCCATTAGTCTGGACTCCTCTGCTACTAATAGATTTTTACTCTTATAGATTGGTACTGTGCTGTTTGTAGAAGGGGAAAAATCTAGTGTATCTCTTGATTCATTTGTTATGTATTGATTGTTTCAGGACACAGGTCAACCCAAACTGTCAACTGCTTCTGTCTTTTTGAAAAAGTTGCATGATATAGCAGGTAAGTTGATTGAAACTCATAAACTGACATGTTAGTGTCTTAGCAGGTAAGTTGATTGAAACTCATAAACTGACATGTTAGTGTCTGTTCTCTCCCTCCCTTTTTTTTTCCCTCTCGGCCTTTTCCCCTTGCCTATTGGGCAATAGTACATTGTTGGTCTGTTGAACTTCTGATAGCCTGATATGTCTTCGTGCTACAGTTCAGAAGAAAGGTTATGTCGACTTGCATGAGGTGGCAAGGGAAGATGGCCTTTCATGCAACTATGGATCCACCCTTCCAAAGGATTCAAATTGTAATTTTCCCTGCAGCTGGACAGCAGCAGATCCATTGACATTTTTAATTCGTGGAAAGACTTATTTAGATGACCAAAAGAAGGTAGTTTCCACTTTGCACATTTGAATAAATATTCAAATCCTAATATCTTACCTTTCAAGAAATGGTTTATCTTCCTTTATTTTAGTGTAATAAACTAACCAGATTTGTTTCACAATGTAAAAAGTATGTTAAAATTGCATCAGTTGCTGCTTAAGCCCACTAATGGGAGCAATAAGCTAAGCAAAATGTGTTGGGAAAGTACGAAGAAGATCCCACATTGGCTAGACATGGGTAAATAATGGGTTTACAAGGGAATAGGGCTACTCCTTTTGGGGTGGAATCTCAATTCTCAATAACCGGTATCAGTGTTACACCCCCAAACTTAGCCATGTGGACCATAGTTAATCACAATGGCTAGAAAATCTCCGTAGTTGGCTTTCAAAGGTGGATGTGCCCAAGTAATGCGTTTACCCTAACACAGTGGAAGAGTTGGACCTTGATGTACTGTGTGATCCTTCTTGGTTCAAGGGGATGGATAGATTATCTCTTGAGAGGGGGTGGGAGCTCCATACATTATGGTACTTCACTCAAGGGGGGATTGTTGGGAAAGTGCAAATGATATCCCACATCGGGCTAAACATTGGGTAAATAATAATTTTATAAGCGAATGGGATAATAGATTAACCTTTTGGGATGGAACCTAAATTTCCAACAATTTGGGAAGTTTTTGCTCCATTTTATTTAATGCATGCTAGAATGAGGAGTTAATAGTATTTGTTTTCCTTAATTTTAGATATCTTTGGAAGCGTTATTGGTGCATGTAAGAACTTCATTGCATATCAAACCTTGTAATGGACTTCTCAAATCTGCACGTGTGCGTGACAACGGGAGTCAGTTTTTTATTGTGTCTGGTTTCCAGTAACTACAAAGTTTCAATTTTCAAGTACCATTTGATTGAAGGAAATTCAATTTTTCTTTGAGCAAGAAGACTGTAGACTGTCTTTGTTGAGTGTTTCTTCTCTATCCATGTGAAAAAAAAATTGCTAAACTTTCAATATATTCAGATGAATGACAAGTTTTGCTTTCTAACTGTATATTGTTGCTATATGTTACTCTTCCCAGATTAAAGCAAAAGGCACATTAATGGAAATGGTTGCCGCTGACTGGTTGAGATCTGACAAGCGAGAAGATGATCTTGGTGGCCGCCCTGGGGGCATAGTTCAGGTATTTTTATTTCTTGGAAACATGTTTGTCAGGAGCTTATCGCTTTTATTACCTTCTGCAACATTTACTTGTACTGCTCATGTAGTGATCAATGACACTGAAAAGAAGTTGCTATGTCTAATATGTAGAAATATGCAGCAAAGGGAGGCCCAGAGTTCTTCTTTATTGTGAACATACAGGTAGTGGACCTCTTTCACTTTAAGCATTTTTACTATTTGGAGGTATAAGCATAATCTTTTATTACTCTTCATTTTAATAATCTAGGTTCCAGGTTCAACAACATATAGCCTTGTTTTATACTATATGATGAGTACTCCTATTGAAGATTCTCCCTTGCTAGAGAGTTTTGTCAAAGGGGATGATGCTTATAGAAATTCGAGGTTCAAGCTCATACCATACATTTCTAAGGTCAGTGCAGTTAATGTTGCATTGCACTCATTGGTTAGTGTTTTCTTGTCATTTGTTTGCTCATTATAATTTGCAGTTGGGTGTTCACTCAATTTTCTCTTGCTTTTGGACCAGTCTTGCATGCCTTATATTTTCTCTTGTTTTGTTTTTTAGTATACCAACTGATTTTTGAGCCATTGAATTTCTATTTTTTTAATTCCCCTTTCTGACAAAATTGAGGTGTATCATCAAGATAAACAGTACTTTAGTTCCTAATCACTGTTCTCTTGTTTGAATACTCATTTACTATTCACTTTGTCTTCATTTGGTTTTAGTAAAATGTAGAAACGCTCGTTGAGTTTGGATTTTATCATTTATTGATGCCCTCAAAGATTTATTACCAATATGAAGGATCTTTGAAGATGAGTTGAACTTTGATAAAGATGTGGAACAGTTATATTATTAATCAGATCTAACTTACTATTATCCTAGTCTTCTGTTTCTGGGTGGAAGAGGCATAGGAAATTAACTTCTAGTTTTCCTTTGACCTCTCAGTGCTAGATGTCATCGCCTCTTTATTATCAGTATTGTGGTGTAATTGGATGTCATCAAGCCTTGTTCTGCACTGAAGTGTGTGTCTCACTTCTCCTGGTTGGTATCGAACATCAGTCTTGATGATTCTTCCCTTTAGTGAAACTTAAGATATAACCAGTCTGTCATTTATCATGCTAAGAATATTTTTATTGGTGATTGAATTCGAGGCTGAAGTTTAGGATATCTCAAATCGTGTTGCGGAACCTACATGAGCTGCTACAATATATGCTTTTACAGGATTTGTTTAACAGATGGATTCGCTTGATCTGAATTCCTTGAGTTTAAGATCTTTTCGACGTGGTTTTGTGGCCATGACAATGTCCAATCAATTATGAAGGCTAGCTTTTCCAACCATTTTTTATTTTGGGGGGGGGAGGGGACTAACCCTCTTTGTTTTTTGTTCAAGGCTGACAAAACCAAGTAGAATTTGTTCAATCTGAGTCCGTTGCGTGTCAAACTGGATTGTTTGCCCAAAACATTTTGAAATTATTTTGTGTATTTGGTGTGATCCACTGAGAAATATGGTTCTTTTGAATGTGATATGTAAATTCAAGGACAATGTGGACAAATATTATGTGAAGTAACCACTTGAAAATTTATACATTGAAATGCAGTTAACGCATCATTTATCTGATCCTATCTGTTGCCATGTGCACTCAGTGATTTCATCTCCCAGAATATTTACCTTTCCCAAACAAGCATACTTATTCATCTAGTTTCATAAAATAGCCATCTACAACGATGATTTATCGAAGTTTTTATTATTAAACAGCTCACCTCATATCTTCACCACCAGCAATCAAAACGTGAGACTCACAGATCATGATATCTTCAATCTATTTCGCAGGGCTCATGGATAGTCAAACAGAGTGTTGGGAAGAAAGCATGCCTCATTGGTCAAGCGCTAGAAATTAATTATTTCCGCGGAAAGAACTACTTGGAGGTATAGTGCAAGTGTAATTTTATCTCGGACCACCTGCTGATTCTCTATCCTCTTTCACTTGCATGCGTTCATGTAGCAATGTGTTCAATTTATAATAATTCATTTCTATCATTTATTGACCTGTAAGGCAAGAAGAAAAACTTTACATGGTTAGATTTACACCTTGTTAGATGAATCTAACGCCACCACCAGAGAGATGATATACGATTCCCCTTTTAACTTGATTGGGCATAATCTCCTCAGAATTTGGTTGGCAATAGCTCTAGGAACTAGAGTTGTAATAACTTATCTACGAGTTATTGATCCTTGAATATAATCCATTAAATTTAACTTTTTATTAGACATCTAACAAATATTTTATGCGAAATATAGAAATTGAGTCTCCTTAAAATGTGGATTCCTCAGCTTTCCTTTCTTGAGAATTTTATCATTTTTTTCTTTTTTTCTTCAACTGGTTGGAGGGGATTAAGCTAATTTGTTCATTCATTTCAGCTTGGCGTTGATATTGGTTCATCCACTGTTGCAAGGGGTGTGGTCAGCCTTGTTTTAGGTTACCTTAACAATCTGGTTATTGAGATGGCATTTTTGGTACAGGTAAAGTAGCATATCATGTTACAGGAGTTTCTGTACTCAATTAAAATGCACGCTCCCATTAAATTTTCTCTAGTAAGATTTCACTTAATTCAACTGGCTGACGGTGCAATATGAAGAAAATGTGCATGTGGTTATTCGAGTCTTTTTGGGTTACGACTAAATTTGATAAATAGTTACAGCAGATATGAGCAGTGATGCTCGTGGTGGGTTTTTTTTACTGATACAGGCTAATACACCTGAAGAGCTACCGGAATATCTTGTTGGAACCTGTCGTCTTAACCATTTGGATGCTGCTAAAGCTGTATTGGTGAAACCATAGCCCGATTATGTGATTCCCATTTTCTACGTACTGAAAACGACGTGGCACCCACCAAGTACGAGGTTATTGAGTTGCAAAGAGAAGCATGAATTGTGACAAATGAATCTGCAATGTTTTAGCTAGTTATGATTCTTTTATTCAATCAAATTGAATAGGTAGGCGTCGTATTCCATTCGTGTGATGTTATTGATGACCCTGCTGGGAAAATGGTCTCGCGTCTAGAGATCAGTCTTTGAAATATAGAAACGTGGCTTGTGAAAATATTTGATATTCTGTCAAAGCACGAGTTGTGCAACAATATGTCAAAGGAAGTTGTATGAATGAAGAACCAATTATTTGAGATGCAAATGAATTTGAATGATGGACTCCTCAACCCTTTTCAAGGGGTACAACGTTGTTGTGTATCTTTGCATGTCCAACTTATGTAGATAGCTTTTGGTTCTCACCTAATTTTCTGAGAAGCCATTTGACTTTGAGATGGTTAATCTTAACTTATAATGTATGTGAGATGTGATTAATAACATATAATTTTTATTTGTTAATTAAGTTTTATAGAAGTCAATGTGATAAAATTAAGTCTAATGTATTTTAAAATTCTAATTAAGTTAATAAACTTTTTTGGATAATTAAATTAATGTTTATATAAAAATTCCAAATTGGTAAAATTGAGTGCAAAGTATACATTTTCTTATGAATAGATAAGAAGATGGAGAAGAAAAACGAATATGGGCAAATTGTAATCACGACACGCTATCCTTTACGTTCACGTGAGGTGGTGAAAGATTTGAGACCGTTGTTTCAACAAATGAAAGGATGGAATAAAAAGTTGCAAAGATTTGAAAGCTTTTGAACTGACTGCGATTGAATGTTGCTATTTGTACATAAAAAATGTACATAATAAATTATATAATATGATGTGAAGTAAAAAATTGATTGTATTTTAAATTGACAAATGATAGAAAACAATGTGACATTATATAATTTATTATTTAAATCTTGATAAGCACGTGACAAAATTCGACTCCATTTATCCCAAAAGAGAATAGTGACTGCAATTTGTCAAAAAGGCTAAGCAGCACCCCACTCCCATTTATCAACTCCACTGAGGAAAAGGGCATTTCAGTCATTTCGTCTCCTTCATTTCTTTGACCTTTAGATGCATTCTTCCCTGCAAAAATTTTGACCTGCACTAATACCCCGCCGTTGTGCTATCGAATAGCATCAACAGGGAGAAAAATTAAGGTTTCGTATGAGAGGAATTAAAATCCTGAAATTTGGTAGGGTTTGATCTAGAAACTTTTCACTGATCGGAGGGGTGAAACTGGAGAGGGGCAGTAGGACACCCCTTGTCTGATCGTGAAGTTTGTCTGGCGATACCCAAACTGTATGTGGGAATTTATGAACACCAGGTTCCAATTCATTCTTTCCTTGTCTGTTTAGATGCTTATGTATAACTCATAATAATGCTTGCAATTTGTTTGAAACTTTGCCACTGTCTTTTGGGTTTTCATCTTCAGGTTTCTGTTTTGCATTGTTGAATAAAAGGAGGATACTGAAGTTTGATTTTTCCCTTTTCTGCATCTGTTGGTATGAGGCGCTTGAATCTGGAGCTGAAGTTGGCGCCGATCCTGTTGCTTCTTATATGTGGTATGCTCTCTTGAATCTTGATTTTGTTGAAAACGGAATGTTGCCTTATGAAACTGATATTCTGAATAGAGAGAGTTATCTTGTAGTTTTTATATAAAATATATGTAACATATATTCATCATTCCGCAGAAGTTTCTTTTTTTTTTTTTGAATACAATTCGTCGTTTAATACTATTGTAAAAGAAGATAATTTTTTTTTTTTTTTTGCCAATAATTGAAGGATGACTAATTTTTCTCTCTTTTCTTGGCCTTAGTCATTTTTATAATGCAGCAATTGCAAGGTTGATGCTATGAAGGAAGGAAGAATCATATCTTCCTAACAAACAAGATTTACCTTTTGGGCACTTATGCTTGATTTTTGTTGGGAAATTGGGCAGGATATTATACTTGAGCTACATACATAAAATCTTTATATAGCTGAGAATCAGATATGTGTGTGTATGTGCACCCATATCTGAGGCTCAGAGCATGTGGGCACTTATACAAGGCCAACATTAGTATTTTTTTCTAATAATAGTTGGACCTTTTCAATTTCTTCTTCCAGCTACCATCACAACTAAGGCATTTGCTACTGAAGATGGTTATAAGAAGTGTGAACTTACTGTCAAGAAGTGGGCATTCTCTTCCCATGATTCTGAAATTAAAGATGACAAACATGCATTGCGCGACTTGCTTTTTTTCCTTCATGTACCTCGGACAGGAGGGCGAACTTATTTCCATTGGTAACTTTCTGTTTGTTATACTAATAGATCACTTCATGCCCCTCTTGCTAAAGGAAAGAGGAAGGGAAAATATCACATATAAAAGTTTTCCACACTATGTTTTATTATGCAACAAATACAAATGGTTTATGCTCATGTTCAGATTTTCCATATGCAGTTTCTTGAAGAAGTTATATGCAAATGCCCAAGAATGTCCTCGCTCTTATGATAAGTTAAGGTTTAATCCAAGGTAACATTTTCAATTTTCCTTTCATTGTGCATGCTGAAATTCATTGCTAGTGCATGAGAACAGTTTGAAGAAGTGAATGTATCTGGCAATCACACTTGGTGCAATCAAGCAAATTCTACATATTACATGTATATACCTTTCAATAACAATATGAGGCCAACTTTGCATTTCTTTCAAATGCATATGAACTTGCGTATTTACTGCTGAGAATTCAGTTGTTGCCCAATGTTGTGAACATGACAAGCTCTAAAACCTGGCACTAGATAGGTACTTTAACTATGAAAGAACAAATTTTATCTACCTGAGTTGTTAGTATATATGCTTATGATAAAAGAGTTGGGTTTTTGACATTTTGTTTAGGAATTACTTACCTGTATCTGATTTGATGATGAAAATCAGTAATTGCTGGACTTGTTTTTCTTGGAATTTTCAGCCCTGATGTTAAAGACATATAAATGCTGAAACAGACTGATTGAATGGATAACTTTCACTTGATTATTATAGTTGTCATCTAATGGATATATTGCCCTCATTCTATTGCTTCTAGGTAGATATAACCAATGTTTGCTGATGTGCTTTGCTTATACATAACTATCAAGACTCGTCATATATCTTCACAATGGAAAGATGATGCTACCTACTGGTTCCATTGCAATAACTCATTCATCATATTATATGCTTTTTTTCTCAAGATGTCTAAGCTATATATTTTGTTTCAATGAACAGAAAATCAAACTGCCGGTTATTAAGTACACATGATGACTATAGCATGATGGTCAAACTTCCCAAGGAGCAAACTTCAGTGGTTACAATACTTAGAAACCCTATTGACCGTGTCTTTAGCACTTACGAATTTTCAGTGGAGGTAGCAGCTAGGTTTTTGATACACCGTGATTTAATATCTCTATCAAGAATGGCGAAACGTGCACGTATGAAGGCAGGTGGAGTAAGCACACTGGATATCTGGCCATGGAAATATTTGGTCCCTTGGATGAGAGAAGATCTATTTGCTCGAGTATGTTTTGCAACTAGTGTTGGAAACTTCCTTTATGGAATTTTTTCCTCTCTCATCTTTTCACGATAATTCTTTAGGTTTTGTTTGTGTATTTTTCTCTGCAAATGCTCAATCAAGTAAAGTTCATTTTGTTGTGGTTGAAGCAAAATCATGATATTAGGATTCCAACATCTTTATTCTGACAACTTAGCAGTTGTATCAGACCTCAACCTGGTTGATTTTTGTCAAACTAGCTAATTGAAGTCTTGTAAATGGTGCCTTCTTAAACTAATCTTACTCTATTATTTCTTGCCATGAAACACTTATTTTAGTGAATGCCTGTCCTTCAGGCTGCATGCCCTATCCATCTTAGCTAGGATTAAATATTTGCAGGTATAGTTAGTTACTTCGAGGTGCCATGGTCTTTAGAAATGGGATGAGCATTCAGATCAGCTTTATTTTTTTATAGCCACTTCTCTTTGTTAATTCTATTTCATATTTATATTCCCTGTCAATCCTCTGAATATATATCCATTGACTAACCTGATTTTTGAAAAGAATTTTCTGTAAAGGGACAGTATAATTTGTCATTTAATTTATACTGTAGCTGTATCTTTTTCAAGAAGTTCTCTTTCCATAAACATTGAAGGTTCTGGACAAAATTGGGAGTAAGTGCACTGAAGTATGATATTTTCTGGGTTCTCAATGTGTCACGTCGTGCTCATTGTAGTGTTTGGAAATCTTTAGAGAAATTTATTCAAAAGATTGCTATCAGGTCCTCCCCACTCACTCCATCTATTATACGGTGGTTAATAGTAATTACTGACCTAGGCGTCTGTCATGATTCTATTATCTGTTCAGGTCAGTGGTGAATCATATAATGTTTAATTTTGCCGGTGAAACAGTGTCTGGGATTACAAACATTCTCTTGCTTCACAAATTTCTAATATTTTGATTTGCTGTTTTCATCCTTCAATTCTGAATTAATGGCACCATCGTGATGCTAGTTTGTTATGGCTTGTCATTGAATATCATTTTTTAACGTATTATTTTATATTTATATGGCAGAGGGATGATAGAATTAGCAAAGGCCAATCTTATATCACAAGTAATGACTCATACGATATGGAAGAAATTTTGATGCCTCTACGTGATTATATTAATGATCCTATTGCTCGAGACATCATCCACAATGGGGCCACGTTCCAGGTATTGTAGTCTACTGCTCTTTAGGTCTTAGTGCTTGTTTGGTAGATATTTAAGTGCGTATAAGCGACGGATGCTACAAGATGTGGATTTTAAGTAGATAGTAAGTTGTGAATCTTACGAAATGTGTGGATAAAAAATATGTTTGATAAGCTCAAATTATAATTTAAGCTTTGCCAAACATGCTACTAAGCTTTATGTGATCATTTCTTTATTATTCTTGAAGGTGGGATTTAGATATTGAAATTGAAGCAATGGCAATATTGTTATGCTGTGAATTTGGGAACACAATCTTAAGTATTTTGATCAGTCATGAAAATGTGCTGTACTTGTGCATTATGTAATATACATGAAAATAGTTGGCATGGAATGGAAGTTATAGCATATGGTCTTTGAGGATGTATGAAAAATATGGTATGCAATTTATAGAGTAATTAGTGCCTCATTGTCCAAGATTTAGTTGTAAATTTGGCCACTGAGATGTGGATGTGCTGGGATGCAAAGAGAATAGTGAGAGACAGTTACATAGATGATAATTGTTGACATGTGATTTGCGATCTTTGATGTCTTTCTCAGACCTTGTGTCTCTAATCTAGACTTCAAAATTATTCACTTCACTGATTTATTTTCTGATTCATAGATTGCAGGACTTACAAACAACTCTTATATAGCCGAATCACATGAAGTGCGCCATTGTGTACTAAAGTATCAGAGTCTTGGTCAATATGTGCTTGAAGTTGTGAAGGTAATAATAAAAGGTTTCCACACCACAATCATGCATTACATGGAATATTAATACTATCTTTCTGATTTATTTCCTTATTCTATGGTTTGAATCGTAGTAGATCATTGTAAATCTTGCAGAAGAGATTGGATAGTATGTTGTATGTCGGACTTACTGAGAATCATAGAGAGTCAGCCACTTTGTTCGCAAATTTAGTTGGTGCGCAGGTGGTAGCTCAGTTGACAAAATCAAGCTCCAGTTCAGATTCTGCCATTGATAATGGTTCAGGTCAGCAATTGGAAGTAACTGGTCCAAATGACCTGTCAATAATGTCTTTGTTGCAACTAATAAAATCAAAGATACGAGCTTGAAAGGGAATTTTGGAGTCTTGGGTGTTATATAACGTCAGGATCCCACGTTACTAATTTCTTGTTTGCTCGACAAGTTTCTGAATATCTTCACTTCTATGCATCATCAGACTTTTCAATGTGCAAGTTGCCAAAAAAAAAAAAAGGGTTTACTTACCTTCACTCTAAGAACGTCATTTTTTATCTTAGAGCAGGTTGATGTCTGAATGGGCCCAATTTTATATCATTTATTCAACTTCTGCCTAACTAAGCTGGATTTAATTTTCAGATCATTGTGTTTGATAAATGTTTTTATCGAAGTAATTTTCCTTTTATCTATGTGTTTGATAAATGATGAAATTTGAGCTGACCTACTCGATAGTCGTTTACCTTAAATCGTGTTCTACTTCTGCTAACAGAACAGAAATCCTTGCTTCCGAATTCCACGTCCGATGCAAATCATCAAGTGAGAACTGACTGCAATTTTGCTTCTGATCATCTTTTGAGATTGAAATTCTGGTATTGTTATATATCATTTTTCCAAATTACAGGAAAACAACGCTTACAGAAAGCTAAAGAAAGTATCATCAGCTAGTAAGGATGAAGCAGCAAATATTAATGTACACCCCCCTGCAACGGCTTGAATTTCCTCATGTTAATATTGGGATCTTCTCCCTTCTTTCTTTTCTTGTATTTTCATTTTAGCAGGCTAAGTTCTCCCTGCCACTGTAACAGATGGATGCTGGAAAACTTATGGAAGCATATGAGTCCTGCATTTCAAGCTTACGGAGCTCCCAATCAGAGCGACGCGCAAAATCTTTGAAAAGAATTTCTCCTGCAAACTTTACGAAAGAGGTATGATAGCTTAAGTTTCAGGCTTTAAACTTGTTGACTGCTTAGTAACTGTCATTATGTTATGTATTCTCCCCATCCTTTCCATTGACATCATTAGCATAACAATTTTCAGGCTCGTCGTAAGGTACCGGAACTGCTTCTCCAGGAAATTACATCACTGAACAGCCTAGATATGCAACTGTATAGTTATGCTCAGGACATCTTTGCGAAGCAACAGGCTGAATACCACGTCTTATAACAAGCACGTCATTCAAAGTGTAGAATAACTTTACCTTAAAACATATGTAAAAAAATAATAGAAGGGCATAAGGAAACCCCCGACACGCAACGACGATACGACGTTTTTTCTCTCTAACTCAAGTCAATGATTATGCACCTATCAAATAGGAGTTGTAAATTTCTCTAACTTTAATTAACCCTACTAACCCATTTGAAAGCCCATCTAATGCGAACGTTTCAATTTTTTTTTGTCAGCACAACCGATAATAGAAGACTCTCGATATAAAGTACCTCGACCGAAAAGAAAACTCAATCTTCCCATTCCTACTCTTTTAAAGAGCAAATATTAACTCCTTTAAAACGTAGTCTATACTGTTTCTTTAGACATGCCTCTACCTACAACCTTTCGATATATCTCTCAAGCCCCATGACTGGACGTAAGGAGCTTTAGATAATATAATTCCACTCATTTTTACTAGTGTCATTTTACTCAAGTTTTTTCAGAGCAATACTATAAGGATAAAGGCTTAGTTTCGTTGTTTCAGAGTCAATAGTTGAATAGTGTACTTATTTTTTATTCTTGATTCTAAACCAGGGTTTGGCTTACTAGCTTATACGTTCTCATGACTCGTATTCTTATTCAACTTTTGTGAAATAATCCAATTCTTTGATGCACAAAGTGCTACCTAAAGAATGTCTTCAACAAAGAGAACTTGATCTCTTTTTTCTTTTTTTTTATTCGGAGAACTTTTTGATTCATTGCCTTTACAGCAGATTGGTCAACTTCAGGCTTGAGTCAGAAAGTATCTGCTCTTCCCGTCTCTTTGGCCATAATACAGCTTAATGTACATGTACATTAATTCTATTCTTTGATTCTATGCATACTAATAACGAAGTGGACAGATAAGTGGTTTCTCGATTGTCTGTCCTCTGCTCTCACTTCATGTCTGTCACCCATAAATGATAAATATGTACAAGTGCATATATTCTATTGTTTATTCTTTTGATTCTATGCTTATTTTTAACAAAGTGGAGCAATACGTGGTTTCTCGATTATTTGTCATCTGTTTTCACTCCATCTTTGTCACCCGTGAATATGGACATTCACTTCAACTTGCTCATCCCCCCATTCAGAATTTTGACTGCCAGAACCTCATTTTTTCTCCCTGTATTAACTTCAAGTATTTTTTCATTTTAGTTTCTTTCTGTAAAGGAAAAAAATTCCATTTTCATGTTGATATTATTTTTGTTGTGTTAGCTTTAGTGTAAATGATTTGCATCAAAATCCTTTACCTTCCTTACAAAAAAATGGAACGTTTGTCTCTCAACTAATGTATTTTAACTACAGGAGAATCTACCGAGTACGCATGATGAACACGCATACAACAATTCATACAGCCTCCCCTCATGGAAAGTCGTTTTCTTAGTCATTGCCTCTCTCTTGGTGCTTTTCTTCGCGTTTCATTTTGTAAATGCAAGGAGGAGGACTTCGAAAGTTAAATTGTAATTTTAGTTCGAATACGTGTTGGGGATACGAACAACTGCAGAGAATGAAGCAAAAAGATGAAAAAACCTCATTGAACTGCAAAAGATGGGGCAACTTTGTAGGGAGGTGCACTGATGCCGAAGTAAAGAAACTATGGCTCATCGATGCTGCACCCTTTGTCGTACTTAAAATGCACTGCAAACTTGTTATTGCATGTTTGGTATGTTAGCTAACCAGCGTTAATCCAGCATTAGACAGTAGAAAAAGTTCAAATCTTTTCTTTTCCTTGTAATCTATGTTGTAATGTTTGACAGTCAATTGAATGTCCATGGGTGAGGCTAGATGTATGTATAATTGTTTTTACCTTTAAAATCGTATTTTTTTCTTATGGAAATATAAATACTTAGCGATCCCTTTACTAAATTATTGAGATATTGGATTTATTCAATTACCAAAAATAACCAGAAAAATATTCGCCTCAAGTGTGAATTAAAGATTGCCTTGTGAAAATTTCACTCATTACTGTCTAAGGGCATGTTTGATGGGGTTTATGTTTTTGCTGTTTCTTTTTGTAGAAGAGTTTTATGAGGAAATCGTATTGGACGAATTTTCTTTAAAAACTTTTATAATCGAACAATTACCTTCAAAAAATTAGTCAAATGTGTCTAAAGTAACTTCTGAAAACATGTTTGGGATGACTTGTCTTAAAGATGCACGACTTATGCTGATCTATTTTGAACTTAGTTGGGTCCATACTAAAAATAAGTTACATTTTTAATTTTTCGAAAGTCCTACAAAAAGAACCCTATATAAATGCATTAGCGCCCCTACTTTGAGCTATACGTAGTCAACATATGATTCACTTAATTGTAATGTAACTAACAATGTCTTTACAGTATAAAGAAGCGTTCAAAAAAACCTAAATATAAAGTTTGACCCTGAGGCTTAACCACGTTTTACGATTTTCTTAGTTTAGGTTTCATCTAAAATCGCATAAACTCGTAAAAAATTGAAGCTTAAGCACATCACCTAAACACCCTTTCTAGTTTTTAGAACATCTTCTATAAATTAAAAGTGGCTATATAACGGAATTT